TATATATATATATATATATATGTGTGTGTGTGTGTGTGTGTGTTTTTCAGTGTCTTTACAATTTTGACTTTTGAGTGTTTTGTTTGTTTGCACAATTATGCCACGTTTCTATTTTTTTTTAGTTATTGGACCTAATTATAACTTGATAAATGTTGTCACAAACATCAAATACAAATTATACAATGCAGTGTGGGAGATCACGAGTGGCCAATTGCGTTGGAGATGACGAGGTTTCCATCACGAATGACAGATCAATCAGATGAACAAGATCGGCTCACAAATATAATAATAATAATAATAATAATGATGATGATGATGATATCAAAGCAGTTTCTTTAATGATTTTTTTTTTTAATATTTAGAAAACTGCATTATCTTTGTTATGTAAGATAATTATATGATATTGAAGTAACCCAAACACAAACTTTCAAATCCCTGTATTTGAGCTCTCGCAAAATGATATAGTGGGCTTGATCCATCTGCATTTGGGCCCATCATGGGTTCTCCAAAGCCCAAAAGCCCACCTTTCAAGTTGGGTTGTTGAAACCCCGTCAAAACCAACATTTTCGTACGTAAAATAAACAAGCAACAATCGACATTTCCCTCGAAAACGAATTAATGTAAATCCATGCATAGTACTTATTGAAACCGGGTTTTAAAAGGAACCAAGTGGACGGACGGTGACAAAATAACGTACTCGTTACATATATCGTTAGAGAGACTCTTGTGGAGTCAATTTAATACGCGATAAGGAAAGGCGTATTGAAAGCTAGAACATGATGCTGTCTCTTTTTTTTTTTTTAAGGAACAATAACATGTTGTTGGTTCCCATTTAGTTTTCGAGACAAAGAACTTATCCCTTTTTGAACTTAACTCTCACGACTAAACATCTTCTTGTCCTTTTGCTCCCCATACATACATACATACATATATATCTATATATTCAACATCATGTCCATTGATTTGCCTCTTTTTTTTTTTTGATAACGGACGACCCCTAGCTGCTATCTTTCGGACGCGCTGACTAGATAAACCTCCGGGTCGGGACCAGCCTTTGTATATGGATCATATAAACCCAGAAATTACCTCCCTCCCCACCAGCAAGGAATCGAACACTCAACCTCAATGTGGAGTTACCTCCTACCTCAAACTTGACCACTCGCCCACGATATGTTGGGTTTGATTTGCCTTTTTCTTACAGAACCCTAATCATTTCTCAAATGATCGTGATATTATTATTTTTCTGTCTTCGAACAAAATAAGGTTCCACTTAGCACGTGAGTTTCCACCAAGGATCGTAGTATCGCATAGCTGCCATGGCTCTTTATCCGTCGTGTTTGGGTACCCGTGTAACTAACATTGAATTATGTTTCCAATTAAATTAATTAAAACGATATTTGATGATGAGAGGATCATTCCTACAAAGACATGACCATTGAATTGTCTTCAGAGACATGAAATTGACGTTTCAGATTCTACGTGTCAGAACCCACCCCCTCATTCATTTCCACTGCACCAAACCCCACACGCCTTTTCCTTTAATTATATAAGTAGTACTAAAGTGTGTGTACATATACATATATATATGTAATGAAGAGGAATATGAAGAGAATTTGTTAATTAACAAAGTTTATTATTCGCTTGAATATGTACTTGTATCACAAACGGTCCTAAACCTCGTTTAGATTTGTCTGAAATTGAACACGGTGGATACGACCAAAGGATTAGAGAATCCATTTGCTATACATTATAATAAGCATATATATATATATATATACACCAAATCATTATTTGGTCAACATTTGAATGATGAAATGACATGAGTTTTTGTCACACTTCCCAAGTGCTGTGCAAAGGATTCTTTTAATAGAAATGTTTGAGAAACAAAAAGCAACAGAAAATTGGTGGTCCTTATAATTGAGATGCATGCTTTATTATTATTTTTTTTACCATGGGTTATGATATGAATGGTACTCCTTATACTGCTTAATTGGACACACAGTGACCTTTTTTTTATTATAGATTTTTCTTTTTCCGAAAATAAATTATTTTTAACTAATTACAACTACATAATATCTTTATACCAGAAAATAAAAACACACGCATAAAATCCTGTAAAAAAAAATAAAGACCGGTTCTGAGTATAGAATATTTAATGTCAATCCAAATTCGGCCGCTTTATTATTGGGACCAGTTTTTTTTTTTGTAATCTTGAAAAAAACTAATAAAGGTCAATATATGCTCATGCAATTATCAAGATGTATGTATGTATCTTGCATAACATTACCAAAATCCCATGTATGTATAACATGGATCATAATGTTTGTGGGTATGTACTAAAGTTTATCATTGTCGAGACATCACACAGTTAATGTTATAAGATTTTGTATAATCGATATAAAAAGTGACTAATAAAATAAATAAATAAATAAGTGTACTACTACTAATTAAACGTAAAAAATAGTATAATTTATATATGGATTTTCTTAATTTGGATAATTGGATTTGGTAAGCTTTGATCGGTTCCTTCACCATATCACCTTATTTAAATTATATTACAGTTTATATACAAAATAATAGTCATTCGTCAACTCTAACTTATAGCTCGATTCACCATTAATTAATTTAATCTTATTTAATACTTTTTAAAAATGAAAACACAAATATATATCTTCTTATGGTGAAAGAAAATGAAATCGTACAACGTGTAACACGAATCACACAAATGATATATATAAATAATGATGAAGTTTATTCACCATCAAGATACGTGAAAGGTCTTTGAAGATAGATCTCTTCGAGAATATATATATAACATCATTGAAATTGTAGGAAATTTATGTAAAATATCAACTGATAAGGTGATGATAGTAACCAAGACATCCTCAGCTCTTGTTCCATGGTACTTCGGGCACGTCCACCTCTTCTCATCCTTAACCCAATTTTTTTTTTAAAAAAAAAAGGGAAGAATGAATATTTACAAAAATCAGAGATATATAAAGCTTATATTATATATATACATATATATTGAACCGATAAAATATTAGATTTTCGAGGTTTTAGAGGAAACATAAAATATTAGAACACTTACATTAGTTAGGCTAGCTTAGCTTGCTTGTTGTTCTCCAGCATCAGACCAAAGTGAATATGAGGGAAATGTGCCCACTACAAAATAAAATGCATTAATTAGCAACTTTTATTAGCTGATTAACTCTTTAATTAAACTGCTAATTAGCTATATGTAATTCTTCCGGATAACTTTGTACGATCGCACAAACCCACATGACATAAATATCGCAAGAATGTTTCTTAATTTCATCTAGGTCAGTCCAATCGTGTGGTGTTTTTTTCTCTAACCATAATGGAAATTTCATTCATATTGTCGTGTGTGTGTGTGTATATATATATTTCAATACCGGGGTTAATTGTACAAAAAAGAACGTATATAGGAGTTAGAATATTTGAAGTATTTTGTAAACTTACATTCTTTGCAGCAGTGCTGAATGCTTCTCTGTGGCTTATGTCTGGATTATTCGCCTTAATCCTCTGAATTTCCTCTCTACATTTACATTATAACGTATTGATTATATATTATATATCTCATTACAAATTAATGCTTATATTATTGGAGAAATAAGGTCGGTATAGTTCGGATTAGTATGAATTGATTTGGCGTGAATTGTATAGATACCCAATGTTCAAAATGAAGAACATTTGATTATACATGCAACTCGGACCAAATCAATTCATACTAAACAGATTGATCAAACCAAACTAAAGTGGCCATAACCGGCCTTAATTATTCTATAATATAAATAATACATATGCGTATAACAAGAGAAGGAATTCGATTACTTTATGAACTGATTATATGCTGAAGGCACTCGCTGCCGCTTCCCGGTAGCTGAAAACAATGAAACCAGCATTTACAAGCATAAATCAACTCCTTGGTTTCACTACTATTCTGATATACACATACACACACACACACATATATATATATATATATAAGCAAAGGGTTTTAAGTACTTACGGCGGTTTTCGACCCTTTGTTCGCCGGCAGTGCGAGTAGAAATCCTCGGAGGGACTTTGTTGTGGCATCTTGAGGAAGAACCGAACTCGTTCCTGTACTCTTGTATGAAGTAATTCGGCGCCTAACACGTAATTTTTTATTATCATTAATTAATATTGGACCTTAGTCTAAAAAGAATGCAAAGATGCGTCTATAAACAAATTCCTTTTCTTTTTTTGTAAACGATCGATCATTAAACTTAGGCACTGTATAATCAAATATAAAGCTTTCAAGTCTTAAATGCGTGTTCAATTTGAGAAATGGAGAGGGATAATATAGCAATAAGATAAGCGAAAAAGAAAGCCGAAACACGTCGAAAAAGGAAAGCAACATGTTCTTCGGTAGAAGACAAGAACTTACAAAGGCATCAGAAAAAGAAAAGGAAAGAAGCCAAGAAACCCTAACATTCATGTCAATCAACTCAATGAGGAAACGGATCACATCGTGTATATTCTAGTAATGATAATCACAAACTAGGGTTATATATATATATAATGTACACCCCTTTAGAAGAAAAATATATCAGAAAGGGAAAAAAAACCTTTTTTTAAAAATTGTTTTACAGAAGAAATTAATCAAAACGTTAAAATTTCGGGGCTATCAATGTAGATGGCGGCTTGCAGCTGTGGTTTTTTTGTTTTTTGTTTTTTTTTTGGGCAGAAATGTGCATTGAAATGCTCAGATCTTTGGTTTAATATTTCCTCAAAAGCATCAGAGAAAGCTCTAGGTTTCAGAGGGCTATATAATTTAAAATATCTGAAAACACCTAATTTCAGGGAATTGAATAATTGATTGTGAAAATATACCAATATTATGCGTGGTAATTGTAACTGAAAAAAAAAATAAAACTCTATATTTGAAAGGGTTGTTTCATCCATTTTTTTAAAAAATAAAAAATAAAACCCATGAAATATATAGGGAGTGTGAAAATTTGTGCGTTTGATTGTAGTGGAAAAAAAAGCCCTAGACTTCAGAGGGCTTTATCGTTAAATTTTCATAAGAAAAAACCCTAAAATTTAGGGAAATGTGTAGATATATATACATATATATATATATATGTATGTGTGTATGTAGTACCTGGAAATTAGGGCGTGAAAGGGACTGAAGAGCTGCAGCCATATTGACGGACCACAGATTGGTGCAGTGCCCGCATCGGACGGTCACTATGTCGAACATGCTGCTGCATGGAACACTCACCTTCACAATTTCAAACACCCAAAAATTCATTTACTTCTAATATTTTTTTAAAAAAATTTCTGGTTACACCTTATTTTATTATTCACAATAATTCACAATGAAAAAGTATATAGGGTAATTCAACCAGGCAACGAGTGAGATTTGGTTTTGGGCAGGTTGCTGATTGGAGAACCGAGAAACCCAGATCGAGGTTTTCTTCTTTGGTCGGAAAAAAGGTTGAAAACATATAAAATATAGGAAAGTATATGAACATTTAATATTTTTACTTAAACTATTTATATTCTCTAATAGTAACGTTTATAAAATAAAGCCCTTTCTCATGTGATAACGGATCATGTAATCGCTTATCTCTGTGAAAATATGGATATATCAGATCATCGGAGGCAGAAATATTTTGTGATTTATTAAAAAAATGAGAAAATAAAATAGAACAAACTAGATTTTGAGTGTTCGGTGAGGAAATTAAATATCCATACTTCTTTAAAAAAGAAATTAAATTATAAATCCTGAGATCCTACTGTGTCTTAACACTAACTCTTTTGTCACGGACACTAACTCCTAGGTTTTCTAGGTGTTCCTATCATGGAGAGAAAAATTAGTTTCCATTAGAACGAGTTCATATATGCATATGTATATACCCAAAGAACATACTGCACCTTACAATAAAGAAAATACAAATATATATATACACGCATATGCATGTACGTATCTATGTACGGACAAGCAAGCGCGAGTTGATCGTTTTAGGGATTCTTCGCCCTGTAATTCTGCTCTAAAAAAGTACGCGAAAGGTTTCAAAGCGTATGACTTTTCTTTGACACAGAGAAAGAAAACGAACAAGAATTATTTGTAATCTGAGAAACAATACTGAGAAGAATGGAAAAAAAAGTCAGTAGCAGAAACGATTGAGACCTGTCTGTGGCACCAGAAAACCAAAAAAACCTATATATATATATATGTATGTATGTATGTATGTATGTATGTATGTATGTATGTATGTATGTATGTATGTATGTATGTATGTATGTATGTATGTATGTATGTATGTATGTATGTATGTATGTATGTATGTATGTATGTATGTATGTATGTATGTATGTATGTATGTATGTATGTATGTATGTATGTATGTATGTATGTATGTATGTATGTATGTATGTATGTATGTATGTATGTATGTATGTATGTATGTATGTATGTATGTATGTATGTATGTATGTATGTATGTATGTATGTATGTATGTATGTATGTATGTATGTATGTATGTATGTATGTATGTATGTATGTATGTATGTATGGTCTGTGGCACCAGAAAACCAAAAAAACCTATATATATATATATGTATGTATGTATGTATGTATGTATGTATGTATGTATGTATGTATGTATGTATGTATGTATGTGGAGAAGAAGAAAAATAAACGGGTTAATTGGAGGAGGAAAAAATCTAAGAAATTTAGAATGCTAGTAAGATATGGAACAGGAAAAAAAAAGAACAATCGAACAAAAACCCAATTATATAACAACAATAAGAAAAGCAGATCTATGCTTATATATATATATATATGTATGTATGTATATATACCGCAAGGACGATGTTGCAGAAGTTGCAAGGGATATAGCAGAGTTGCTCGGCGGCGGTGGCAGTGTTGATGCATCCGGCCATGATCTCCGACTGGCAAGAGCTAATCTTGATAAGCTTGTCCTTTATAATTAGCGAACTATGTGTGGGTGTGTAAGGGCGGAGAAAGAGAGGGCAAGATTTGTAGAGAGAGAGAGAGAGAGAGAGAGAGAGAGAGAGAGAGGATGAAAAGCTGTTAAATTATTCTCTCTATCTATAGAGAGAACATATACTTGCTTTAAAATGGGGGTATTAATTACCACAACGGTGAAATCAAAGGGGCACTTATATTTACGTGGGAAAGATGGTCATTATAGGGAGAGGATGAAAATGATAAAGGGTCAAATTAAATTATATATATATATATATATAAGCTTAGGGGGAATTTGGAAGTAGGGTTGAGTTTTATGTCTTTTTACTAGTCGGCTTCATTGGTAGGGTTTCACGCCATTGAAAAAAATTATATAATATATTATGTGTGTGTGTTTAAAATGAAACCAACGAATTAAAAAAGTTTCTTTTTTATTTTGTGGAATAAAACGTAATAATGGTGAACTGTTAAATTATAATATGTATAAAACGAGTAAAACGTTTGCACATAACTTTTTTTTATTAATAAAATAGTTTGGATATGGTGACTTGGGAAGAACTAAATATATACATTTTCATTCTCTTTTTTTTTTCCTGGAAAAAAAAAGAAAAGAAAGGAGAGTAGTAGTGTGCCTAAGGAAGGATGCAAAAGCTGGGACCATTGGAAAAAGGAAGTGGCCATTGTTTGATTTGCTTTCATATATAGCAACAAAATCGAAATAGTAATTATGACATTTCCGGTTTAGTTGGGGATGAACCGAACCGGTTTAGTTACCTCTTTTTTGCTTGATCAGCTCATTAGAGGCTAGGGTTTGTGTCTCTGTGCGTGCGTCAATAGAGAGAGAGTCAATATGTGGAACAGTGGAAGGGATATGGAGTTCAATAATCATAATCATCAATGTGAAAAAAAAACCATTTTCGTTATACTAAAATGGTCATTAATTACTAATTTGATAAACTTCGATTATGTATTTGTTGAGTTCGGTACGCTCTCTCTCTATGTATTCTCTTGATTAATCGGATTTGAATATATTAACGAAAATATTCTAAAAATAACTCATCACACACACACACACATATATATATATATATATATATATATATATATTGACACTTTTCTTTTGTAGATGTATAATTGAAAAAGGATTTTGATTCCATATGGGTTTCAGGAGATGAGTGATAAGAGGGGGAGTTCCTTGGCTCATGTGATGTCTTGTAGGTTGTTGCCAATGAAACCGATGTAGTCATGTTCTTTGTTTTCTTCCTCCGCCACCGGACGTGGGGGGCGATTTTCATTCTTCTTTTTAATTTTTTATTTATAACGATGCTTAAATACATTTGGATAATCTTATGAAATAATAATCGAATTTAGAGTAAACATGATAGGATTAGTCGTGGTTTCAGATACAATTAAAATCTACCATTTTTATTATGAGGTACATAAATAAAAATGTAAACTCTTAGGCCTTGATCAAATGTTTATGTGAAACGTTATATAAATATAATGTATATTAATCAAAACTAATCATCATTTTGCATACTTAATTACAACCGAACTAATATCCTCTATTTTTTAATTAGATCTTTAATATATATATATTGGTAATAATTTTGTTCCTATTTAAATCAAACTGTATATATATGTATATGGAATTCTTTTTATAGCTATCGTGGGTGATATCGACTTCCGCATATTCCGTTGTCATACACAATAAGCAACAGACATACTATGTCATGAAACTATGTCCACAGAATCATCGCATAGTGGGAAATAAAACTTTATATTATAATTCAAAAATATCAATCCTCTCTGTTTTTTTTTACCTTTTGTAATCATATTGTGAGTTTTACTGAGAAATCTTTTACCTTTCCGTGCCCTTAAAATCCGATACGACAAACGACCGGGAAAGGACTAAAAACATCTTTATACAACAGTTCTAAACAACAACAAAAAAAAAAAAATTGAAATAGCACAACCACGATATGGGTAATTCAAGTTTTGATTAATTTTTTTTTATATATTTACATATTTGTCTAAGGTTACTTTGGACTTTCATCGTTATAAAAAAGATCATAATCATGGGCCGTAAAAATAAAATGGAACTTTTTTATATTCGGATTTTTTTCCTGATAAATTCGCCACAACACAACTTAATTAAAATTTATTATATTATACGCGGAAGTAAAAAAAAAAACATTTCTTAACATATGGAGTGTTATCACCGGATTCGCCGTACAAATAAAATAACTGAGGAAGGCGACAAAACAGACATGCGGGTGGCAATGCCCTCTAGTTAAATGATCGTTATACCCTTTTTTCTTTGCACTAAAAATTAGCATATGATTGTCTTATTGGGCTTTGTGGAAGGCCCATAATTTCTTTTAGTCAAGGCCCATTAAAGGACGGAGTTTACAAATAACCGAGCAATGTCTTCTACATAAATGACCGTTATACCCTTTTCTTTTTCTTTGCGCGGTAAATTTTAAATTAGCATACGATTGTCTTATTGGGCTTTGTGGAAGGCCCATAATTTCTTTTCGTCAAGGCCCATTAAAGGACATTCATGGAGTTTGCAAATAACCGAGCAATGTCTTCTACGTAAATGACCGTTATACCCTTTTCTTTTTCTTTGTGCATAATTTAAATTAGCATATGATTGTCTTATTGGGCTTTGTGGAAGGCCCATAATTTCTTTTCGTCAAGGCCCATTAAAGGACATTCATGGAGTTTACAAATTACCGAGCAATGTCTTCTACGTAAATGACCGTTATACCCTTTTCTTTTTCTTTGCACTCATTTTATTGGGCTTTGCGGAAGGCCCATAATTTTCTCTTCATCAAGGCCCATTAAAGGAGGAGAGAGAAATCATAGGCCCGACTTCATAGATCCAGACTCTAGAGATAGGATTCGATTGGGCCGATTTCGGGTTTATTTGGGATTTAGATGAGTTTAGATTGGATAAAATAATATCTAAATAAAATTGAATTAAGTTTGGTTTGAGCTCGATCTGATTTGGTTCGGACAATTTTTTTTTCACAGTAAATTTTATTTCGTTTGGATTTATTTCTAATTTGGTTGGTAGATAATTCAAGTAGTTTTGGCTTAGCGAATTGGAACCGATTCAAACGGAATAAATTTTGAATTGATTTGGTTTGGTTAATTGGTTTTTATTTGGTTCGAATTTTCTACCCATTCGTACGTATATAGGGACTATATTTTTTCTTCCTTTTCTTTGGTCCTAAGAAGAAAGATATACACGATTTTACATAAAACCATCAAGTGAAGGAAACGCTATAATAATTAAAATTTAAATATTAAATTAAATTATGGTTAGAGAATATAATGGAATCGATAAATAGATATACTTTATCATATTACGGAACGTAACATTTGTACTTGTATAGAGAAACCTTGGCGATTGTTGAGCTGAGTATTTGAAATCATCAAATGGTCACCTTTTTCTTATGTTATTGTTGGTATATTATTTTTTTTTAATGAAATGTGTTCGTGGAGGGCAATTAGGTTCGGTTTGATTTTTTTAATTAGATTCTTTATTCTAAAAAATTATATAAAATAATTAACTAATTTTTCTTTTTTAAAATAAATAAATAGTTTATAGGGAGAATTAGGATATTTACATTACACATAAACTCAATATATTTTTATTTTATTTTTTAAATTTTAAACAGATGATAGATTAATTGTTTTATTAAATGAACAACGCCTCCAACAAACAGTCAACTTGCTTTTCAAGTATCGATGATCAGAAAGAAAGGACGATTGTCTTCTTCCTCCGTTTCATAAATTGAGAAATTAAAAATAATTGGAAATATATATATAGGGAAGCACACTAAACAATTAAACTAGCATTGAAATATAATCTATTCGTTAATTAGGAATATATATTTTTTATTTTTTGGTAAAACGTAAGTAGATACATTTTAATAATGTATTTATAATGGTAGCGGTACATTTTAATTTTCATTAATTGCACCGGACAATGTTTTGTTTCTATTTAATTTTTTGACACCTCACAAAAAAATATGCTAACAATCACATCAGAAGTCGTTTCTCGTGCACCGTCAATGATTTAGGTACTTAAGTACCCAATTGAAAATGTCGTTCCACAAATCTTATACCATATACAATTTATCCAATATATATATATATATATATATTATCGTTCGTAAAAAATTGAAAATGTCCAAACATTATTCCACAAGTATTAGTACTGCGATTATTGAGACATGTAGGGTGAGGGTCCAAACAAAATATTCGAGAATCGACACTTAGCATGTGGATTTCCACTAAGGATCGAATGAATAAATAAATAAATAAAAAAACAAATGTGAAATGTAACGTGAAGACAAATCGAAAATCGGACCCATAACAAATGTGTGGACGAAGACAAAGAAATGAGACAGAGACAAAAGACAGGTGAGGGTGTGAGTGTGAGTGTGAGTGTGAGTGAACTGCGCCATGAAAACTCAAAAGTCTCATCTGGTCAGTTTGTAAGCGAGGAAAACCTATATATATACACACACACACAATAATAATAATAATAATAATAATAGGGCAATTATATATATGGCAGATTTATTTATTTTTTGTTACAATCAAAAGAATAACCCACTAACTATTGTTTTTCAATATCTCCACATGTTGCGAGGGTCCCCTCAATTTCACATGATGGAAAAAGCTGCTTTCTTTTGTGATTACCATTAGTCCGTTCAAAGAGGTTAATTATAGACCTAATCGATAGATCCATACGTAGGCCTTGTAGGTAACGTAAACATATAATAGCGACTGAATAAACCAAATTATGGATATAGGAACCTTGGTGATTTTGTATGCATGCCATTGTCCTGGCTGATATATGCATATATGGATCGATCGAATCTACGGTTTTTGTGAGGAAAGTGAACCCTAACCGGCATTCCAACCCGAAATTCAAATCATTTATTGAATTTAACGTTGCACGTACAATCGCTAGTGAAAATAAATGCATGAAAATGATTGACATTTAAACTCCGAAAGACTTTGGATACAAGATTAACGCACACGGTGAGATAAAAATTGAAATAAAGGCGTTCGACTCGAGAGGCCTTCCTTTGCATTTTGGATTCGTAGATGATTCCTACCAATAGTCATAAATTCTGGCCCACACAAATAGGAACGGAGTTTGAAATCATGAGAGAGAGAGAGAGAGAGATATTAGGGTTTTGGATTATGTGGATGGAGTGGGGGGACATGAAATATCAGAGGCAACTCATTATGCTCAGCCTTACCGACATTGATGAGCCTCGTGCGCCTTCACAAAATATTTCCCCCCTCTTATTTGTGTCTTTATATATGTATATATATACACACATATATATGTCTGTGTGTGTGTGCATGGGATGGGATGGGATGTATATTATATATATATTCCTACCTCATGAACAAGAAGACTGGATATCTTTCATATCAAAGGGAAATTTCACAATAAAAACCCAAACAAATTGATAATTATTCGTCTGTGTATGCATGGGATGTACGAATCATTTTAAATGTCATACTTGGCCCTGCTGGTTAATCAACTAATAAAAATTAATTAAGTTAATGATTCTTGTGCATTTTATTTATATGATTTCATTAGGGCGTTCTCCACTCTCTGAGTCGCTTCACTTCCTCGTTGCCTAAATATCTAGTCGATGATTTTTTTTTTTTTTTTTTTTTTAACCAAAGAATTGAAATAGAAGAAAATAGAAGAAAGTGATGAAGACAAAAAGGTAAAAAGTGAGCCACCCCTCTTCTTCTTCTTCTTCTTCCTCTCACCCATTTGGTGATGGCTTTTGAAAGATTTTGCAATTTCATGCCATGAAGTCAATATAATTATATACTATATGATTAGAACAAAAAGAAAGAATACGATGATGACGCATGCTAATGGAACCAAGGAATTAAAAAAAAAAATATGCTTCTGTCACAGCATGTTTTTTTCTCTCTAAATGTGTATGATACTGTTGAGAAAGTGCTTTTAATAATTTAGCAAGAACGAGACGCCCACATGTAAAATGCAATCTCTCTCCCTCTCTCCCTCTCTGTATGGCTTATATAAGGACTTCACCATTTTCAATGCTCTTTTGATTCAGAGAGAGAGAGAGAGAGAGAGAGAGAGAGAGAGAGATATGGAGAAGAGAGAAGGAAAGTGTAGAGTGAAGAGAGGCTTGTGGAAGCCAGAAGAAGACCTGATCTTGAGAAGCTATGTTGAGGCATTTGGAGAAGGAAACTGGGCAGATATCTCCCGGAGAACCGGTCTGATCCCCTCCCCCAAAAAAAAAACTTTTTTTTTCTTTTACCGACCAGACTTCACCGGAAATCTAACGGCTCTCCATAACCAATTCCCAATTGTTTCAGGGCTGAAGCGAGGCGGTAAAAGTTGCAGACTGAGATGGAAGAACTATCTCCGACCAAACATCAAACGAGGAGGCATGTCCCCCGAGGAGGAAGACCTTATCATCCGTATGCATAAGCTTCTCGGCAACCGGTCCGTTAACACTATCTACACCTTCATGTCACAACCACCGTATATACATATATATAACTCTTTTCACCTGTATATTATGTCTCTGGCAGGTGGTCCTTGATCGCGGGTCGGCTTCCTGGTCGTACGGACAACGAGGTGAAGAACTACTGGAATACCCATTTGAACAAGAAATCCGAATCAAGCAAGCGAAAAGCCGATGAATCGGGAGGTAAGACTCAGGGCATTGATACCGACACCAAGAACAAGCAATGTGCATCACCCAGCTTGATGGCATCTAAAGGAGTGATGGGCCAAGGACGGGAAGAAGCCAACGGGGAAAAGCGAGAAGATAGCATCGTGACGAGCAGTACCTGGACGGAAGGGATGAACGGATTTGGCTATGGCATAGCGTCCCCATTGCCGTTTCCCGACTACGAAACCTCTGTTTTCGACGATCCCCAGTCTTCATTTGCATTTGCCGACATGTTCCCATTGCTTTAGGACTCTCTCTCTCTTATTGGAGGGATGAATTCTTCCATAGACTATGCCCGTCGTGCAAAGTAATTTCACGACGGTTTTTCCATCGTTGCATTCGATGCTTTAATCTATGAGGGAGTAAAACACGATGGACGTAGTCTAGACAAGAATTTAATCAGTCGAAGTAATAAGTTTCCAGCTGTTTCCGCCTATTGTAGTTCTATTCAAACGAAGCATTGATCCCCATCGATAAGCACCAAAAGCATAGAATTCTTAACAATCTACAACCGATGATGAGACCAAAACAAAAGGATCTGTTCATTGGCAATCTGAGTTTTGATAATATGCCATGAAGAAGAAGACGAAAGTGTAACTACAATACTTCATCTTGTTGAGGATATAACATACCGTCGTCCACGGGTAAAGAAGGCGGGGTTCCCGGAGGAATGCTAGCAGCACCATTTTCGCCCGCACATATGCACAGAGCTTCCGCGTCTCTGAGCACAGAATCGAGGTCAATATGCCCAGAAAGCTCGTTGATGAATTTAAGGAGTGTGTCAAAGTCCATCTGTTCCCCGATTATCTTGCGGCGGTAACGCTTCAATATTGCAACACATACGTATAGGTGAAGGTGTTCGGAGAGGTAGTGAGTCCATAATACCTCCCATAGCCGCATCGTTTTCCCATACTCAAACTCCCTGATTCACATTTGTCACCAGCATCACAATGATCAATAAATTTACTCTATCGTGCAATTTTTTTATCGGAAACCACTGCAGGGTTTTCTCAGAAAAAAGAATGGACAATGGGATTTCGCAGAAAAACCTTTTAAACTGAATAAGGATCCAGCGGAAACAGAAGAAGTAATTCAAGCAGTCGTTCTGGCTGAAGTAATTATGCAACGGGCTATCGAGCAACTCCACCAACTGTTGAAATAGAGAGGAAAATAGAGAAAAGCTTCAGAATCAGATCCTGTTGATAAAGAGGGAGAAAAGCAATGTATATTGTAGAAGACAAAAGGTTGTTAAGGAGGTATAAAGTAAAAGATAAGACCTTCGAGAGTGCGAATAGCTGAGTGTGCATGCCGTTCTGATCACGGTTAAAATTGGGCCCAAGCCTTTCCATTAAAGCCACGAAACACCAAAAGGTTTCTGATTCGTCCTCCATCACAAACAAGATGGGAGACAGATAATCACTCATTCCCTGTCAATTGGAAAAAAAAAAACATTAGGCTTCCAAGTCATACAGGTGAAGATTGACAAAAAGACATGAAAAAAAAAGAGGGAGTTTCTGCAGAATGATTCTGCGATTGCTCAACGCTAAATTCCTACTTGCATACTGCGAAGTGGATATGAATACCGAGTGCAAATTCAGGGCCCAAAAAATTAAAGAAACGCCATCCTTGTAGATACAACACCCAATCCCATCACAATAGAATTCTAAGAATCAACCTTGCAAGTAGAAGAGAGTACCTGACAGTAACCCAGATCAAAATTGTAGAAAGAGTAGGTCAAAAGAATGTCGTGCAAGAGGTTAACATTTGGATTGTCATCCCCATCAAAGAATTCAAGTGACCTGTCTGTTCTTACCTAGACAAATAGAAAACAGAACAGCAACTCACACTTGGAATTTGGTGAATGAGGCAACACATGTCACGGTACAAATCGGAACTTTTCTTACCACATCTTTATCTATAAGACCCTTCCTCTCCCTGAATTTTGTAAACCTTTTTGCTTGCTCAGGAGAGATGCTCTGTTAGAAAAGAATTTGTAAAGAGTATCAAGCGTCAGAGAAAAGACCTTCCAAAGTATAAGAAAGAAGTTACTTGAGGAATGTATCTGACATTTATGGCTTTTTTAGCTCCAAGAACCATTTTTGACAAAACAATACTATAGCAAAGGAGCCATGTGAGAATTTGAAAGCTAGGTTCCAGGAGTTTCAGACAAGATGCGAGATTAAAAAAAACAACTAAAAACCCTAAATTTGAGTGAACAGAAAGGAAGGAGATCCGACCTGCCACTGTTGTTTTACTGTTGCATACTCCATCCGTCTAACAGATCGAAGATATTCTCTCTCTGCATATGTCGAGTCATAGGCATAATATCCCAAGAGAAAGGGCCAGACCTATAATGGCGATGTTGCATTTAAGAACCAATCAGAATTAGTTAGCAAGGATAAATTTATACTACACATGGACTAGAAAAGTTATAACCTCTCTTCGCAATGCATCCTCAATGCCTCCATAGAAAACTCTATCTCGAAGAGCCTTCGAATCCATCACCCGTCCTTCAGAATCCAAGAAAGCTGCCCACTGAAAACCCAACAAAAGATTGAATTCTATCAAAGATGAAAAAGAAGAAAAAAGTAATCAAGCAAACGTGGAAATTCATTAGGAAGCGTAAGGGATTCCAAATCAGAACGTCCATGTATTGTTAAAATATTAATATTTCGCCAAAATTCATGGTTATATGGTCAAGTGCTTTGTCATCCAAAATGTTATCTGATTGAAGCTAAAGAGTCCTCTAACGGATCATCTAAAATGTTATTTGATTTAAGCTAAAAAAGTCATCACTTTAGTAATTTGATAAATTTGACATACACCAGGTATACTGTTGGGGATAGCTTTAAGCTTTAGAAACAGGAAGCTCGGCTATGGTCTTATGTTCTGGGAATAAAGGCCAATGGATCACACATGGTTGTTAGGGTGGAAAAAAATACCAAAGCAATCAATTTCTTTTTAAAAGTTCCAGAATATGGATTATGCTCAGTTCAGAATTGACAAGGCTTACCTCTCTACGTCCCAAAGGTGACTGCCTTGGTTTTCCCCATACCAAACTCATCTTATTAAACTGCAAAGTTAACAGATAGCATAGTTAAACTTTTTGACATGCAAACACTGACCAATGACCGGCATTTGATGTTTAACAGAACCATCAAGCATAAATCGATTGCATCCGCATATTTTTATATAAGATAGAAAAAGAAAAAAGGAAGTATTATTCGACAAAATAAAAAAAAAGAAGCATATTTAATGTCCAAAATTTCAAAAAAAAGTCCATATGAATTGCCACCAAAGTAAAAGAACCTTCAAAGCATGTGTATCCTACAATATTTATCATGAACAAAAAAGTAACTAGTCATGTAAAAGATTGCTCTTCAATGAGTATCTAGGCACTATCTAATAGTTCAGCTTCACTTTGTAACTTATTATATTTAGTACATTAGAATCTAACTTAAAGGTGCAATAGAAACAGCTGTTTGCCTTATGATATAACTTCAACCAACATTTTAATTCTAGAAAAACTGAAAAGGATTCAGATCCTCACCTCTAAAGGATCTGCAGGAACTTCAACATCAGTTGGAATTTCTTCAGCCTGAGCAGGCTCTTTTTCAGGGTGACTATGAAGACTTTCAGGAACTTCAGGGTAACCAACACTGGACAACTTTTCGGGATAATTATAGGTGGAATGGTTATTCCATCTCTTATCAGCGGAACTGAAGCCATTGTTCTCAGAGAATAACTGTGTGGTTGTATCTCTAGCAAATTTAGTCACAAGGGAAAATTTCTCGAGAAGCTGGATAGAAAGATCATGACTCTTTTGCTTCCTTACACCGTACTGGGAAGCAACAGAATTTTTGTCACTGACATCGGAACTTGTTCTCCCCAGATTTTCATTAGAAGATGACTCCCCAACCGATGGGAATGAAGATTGTCCACTTGCAACAGGGAGTGATCTTGGCAGCTTTAAAGAAGACAGAGTTCTCTGTTGTACATAACCATTAAATTTATTACACTATCTTATGCAATAATACAAAACCAGAAGTATTGTTAAAATTAAATCATTTTTTCAAGGCTATCAATATTTGCAATAATACTCCTGCCCCTCTAGGGCATACGAAAAGTGGTTACGATTGACACTTAATAGAAGGCATTAACCCTCACATGCAAAAGAAACACTGGTGTCTGTACAGGTTACTTAAAAACAAATTGACAGGCTATACATTATAAGATGGATATGACATCAAACATGAGAGAATCAATCATTTCTTGACAAAGTTTGTGCAATTGGGCAAAAAAAAAAAGAAAAAAAAAGAAAGCAACCTTACCTGCAATGGATTTCGAAAATCATTCACAAGAAACACATTTGCATCTTCTGCTGACCTGTATAAAGCTAAGATTACATCAGTCTACACTCCTTTTATTCATGATCAGGCCTGATAATGAGTACTTTTAGACAACATTGCTTTCCTAATTTTCTAAAGATGAAAATTGTTAACAAATGTTTGATATGCATTTATGGCAGTTCCATAAGAACAAGCGCATGTCCTAAATAACAAAAGCTCTGTACAAAGCTAAGCATAACAGCTAAAGAAATGGCACAAATGCGCCCGAAATTCAAAAGGATACGTTTCCATAAACAAATATATGACCGAAGGAAAAGAAGCATCTGATATCACGAGCAAACCTTGCAAGAAAAACATGATGCTTTACAACGGCAAGAAACTCCCTCACTCCTCCACTGTAGAAGTACAGAGGTGCAAATGCAAGCCCTGGAATCAAAACATTTTATTGCATTATCTGAGATGCAAATTGAACAGTACAAACAATCAGGGAGACAGTTGAAAAATACTAGTTGTTAATTCAAGCATTAATTGTTTACGGGATCATTCTACCCTTAAAAGGAAGACATCGCTTATCCTCGTGGTATAAAATCACTAGAAAGAACAAAGATCAATGAGACAGTCATTTTACAACCACTCTCTAATTTTGAAATTTTTAACTGTCATAACTACCTAGAATCTAGATTATTTTACATGTCTCTGTAAACAGGAGAGACGATAACGATTCTCCAACTTGTTTAGATTTTACTGCACACACGAATACATTCTACCATAAGAGTGGGGTTACTTAGAGATCATGCACAATATCTTAGTGAAAGCACCGACAACAAGCCATATCAGATCAAGATGGCTTACCAGATGACAACACAACGATTATGTACTGCCATCCAAGAGCAGGAGTGTGTCGCTTGATGGACCTCACTTCCGTGAATGGCACAGCTCTAATGGTATACAGATTCCTGTCTAGAAAAGGCAACAACCGAAAACCGAAGCAAATGCATCTCCATTTACTCATCCTATCCTATCAACATGTGATACTTCCATTCAAAGGAGACAAAGCAGATACCTTTATCCGTGACCTTTGCGTTTGAGATTTGCCCTTTGTACGGAATCCACGACTACAGGGCGCACAAGAAAAAGCAACATCTCAAAGCAAGAATCATAAATAAACCCAAAGAACAATGAGACAAATCTTCTACTTATGGATTGGGCATCGCATACATCCCCTTTGCCCTTTATTAATTGGATCACACCGACAAGAAACCGGAACAAAACAAAGAATCTCTAGAACACTAATGGCGAAGAAGTTACATTAATTACCAGAAAAAGGACAGAATCGTGCTTAGTTAACTTCAATCTCCCACTAATCCTCTCGGATGCGAACTGGGTCGGATGAATCGCAACATTATCCTTTAAATACACAATTTCACCACCTTCTTGTTCACTCGGTGAGCTTCTCTTCCCGCTATCGCACCGCATCATGCTCGCCGAACCCTGCCGAATTCAGAAATCCGACAAAAAGACATAGAAATCAATGGCTCAATTGAAAAAGCAAAGGAAAAATCTTTGATAACGATTCAAGTGAGGAATTGAACAAGGATCAATCCAAATCAATAGGATTAAGGTAGAAGAACCAAACAAGGTAGTTGAAATTGCTCACTTGTTGCTGAGATGCAGCGTAATCAGCGTCGTCGGAGAGATCCTGGAACTCTGATTCCTCCATGGATATCGAGTTCGGAAGATAGATGATCTGATTGCCTTCGCGACGAAGAAAAGACGGAGAGATGGACGAAGCTACGTTCGGTTACGCGTTTAGGAATATTCTGTTGGGAGTGTTGCATTAAACACGAAAGAGAAGAAAAAAAAATGAAAAAGGAAAAAAGAAAATGTCTATCCACGTAATTAGTCATCGAAAACCAATGGATCAAAAAAATTGAGGACCGACAAATTTAGAAGATATATTGGAGTAAATCAAAACATTTTGAAACATATGGGTAGATTCGTAAATATCTCAAAATAATGGGAACTTGTTATTTTCGGTGATCCTATAATCTGAAATGATAACCCTAACCTCTTCATTCTCCGGTTTATAGGGATTTCATTGGATCTGAATATCTACGAATTCCCAATCTATTCCCGTAAGAGAATTCTGAATTCCTCAGATTTTTTTGTTCTATTTAATTTCTTCAGAGGGTTGTTTGCTTCCCGGGAATCCGAGGGAAAATCAGGGAAGAAAAAGGAAGGGGAAAAGAGCTGAAGGAAGAAGAAGAAGAAGAAGAAGAAGAGGAGACGGGGAAGCAGATAACATGTCTGCGATAGTTTGCGGGAAGAGATCTCTGTTCGAGGATTTGGCCACCGCTTCGCCTCCCGTCTCCAAGAAAATCCGTTGCTCTTCTTCGTCATCTCCGGTTCGTTTTTCATCTCCGAGTCCGCAGGCTTCTTCGATCCTCCTCGATCAGGTCGCCGCGATTTTCCCCGACATGGATAAGCAGGTGACGATCGATTTTGGTTTCTGTATCTGTTACATCGTGATCGATTTGTTTTGTTATATGTTCATATGGGTCAATTTGGGTGTGGGTGCGATGAAATTGACGTTATTCAAGTAAATTTTGTCTTATTATAATTGGCGGTTAATTTGCAAGCATGTGATATTCGATTCCGGATGCTGCATCGGTTTTATGTTTCATTGTTTGGATTTTGTCCATGCAAATGGTCATGTGGGTCGAAATGTGTTTGTGGAATTAGATCTTTATCATGATTTATCTGTATGGTTATAAAATTAACTGCAGATTTTGTATGTTTAGCTTCTTGAGCGGGCGATTGAGGAATGCGGAGATGATCTGGATTCAGCTATTAGGCGTTTGCATCAGCTCCGTTTGGAGTCTGCAACCAAGAATGCAGATTCTGCTACCAACCTATCTTCTGTCATTCAGGAAACAAATGTTGAAGCTGAACAGCAAGGTAGCTGTGTAGTATACTTTCCTACTCATATTACGCATCAATCTTATCGTCTTCAGTCTTCTTTTTTTTTTTTTTTTTTGCCAGAACATGTCACATATACTTTTGATCCTGAACTTGCATGCTTATTAGAAGTATATACTTGTTGAATATTTTTTTCTGTCATATTTTCCTATCAAATGGGTTTCCTCGTATGCAAATTTTTTATCCCATTCCACCCTGATAAAATTGCTCATGTAGCTATCACTGTGACCCCACTTATGACTTCTGACTATAACTGAGAGTTTTCTTCTCACTCCAGCACCGGCTAAGGAGGAGGTCCCATCAAATGGAGAAGCATGTGCTCCAGATGTCTTGAACTTGGATGGCACTGAATGGGTTGAGCTCTTTGTTAGGGAAATGATGAATTCCTCTGACATGAACGATGCTAAAGCCCGTGCTGCGAGAGCCTTAGAGGTGTTTGAGAAGTCTATTCGTGCACGTGCTGGTGCTGAAGCAATGAAAAGTCTCCAACAGGTGGTTCCTCAATCTATTTGCTGTTTGACCGTGTTTCTTGTCCGTGTCTCTCTCCTCGTTGTCGTTGACGGGCATTCCTTAAATGAGTACTAGATTGTCAAAAAAAATTCAGAAGATGTTTTTTTCCTCACATTGAATCTGATCTCTGTGTTTGACAGGAAAGCATGATGCTAAGGCAACAAGTAGAAGCCGTCGTCCAGGAAAACACTATACTCAAACGAGCTGTGGTGACACAACAGAAGAGGCAGAAAGAATTCGAAGATCAGAGTCAGGAGTTGCAGCATTTGAAGCAGCTAATCACTCAATACCAAGAACAGCTGAGAACACTTGAGGTCAGAATCTTAACCCTCGGGGTTTTTCTTTTTCATTTCCTAACGCCGTGTACATACAAATTGTTGCGCCTCGATGAGATCAAATACCAAAGTTGTTCGAGCCTTTGAACTGATATTGCAGGTTAACAACTATGCTTTGACACTTCATTTGAAACAAGCACAGCAGAACAGTTCCATCCCGGGGCGATTTCACCCGGACGTGTTCTAATTATTACTTGGGGAATCCGTAGTAAGTCTTGGTCAGGGCATTTCCGGTTTTCGGGTTGGATTCTGTCTGTGTTTGTTTCTCTTAACTATTACATGGTTGCGGAGTGATGAGTGAAAATGGCAATGGTGGAAGACAACACATCGTCTGTACATATGATGATGTATGGATGATGGTCGATTCCAAGAGGGCAAGCTGATTTGAGGCGTGGGAAGAGATTCTCGTGAAAGCAGTCCAAGGAATCTTTTATTGGGTCATTTATTTAATTTTGTTTGGCTATCAAAACAATGTCTTACCAAATAGATTCCGGGCTGGTTCGATTTGGTTTGCCTATAGATATGCATCGCATTTAATTCTTTCGTATTGGATTCCACTCCGAAATATTTTGTGGATTTAAACTCATTCAATGAGCAAGAATCCATGGAAGATGGAGTTGTTCGGAATTGTAAATCCATAAAAAAAAAATGTGATTTTTTTTAATCCAAATCGAATTTTATTGTAGTCCTTGTACATATATATATGGACATTGAGAGAGTGTTAAAAAATAATTTTTTAAACATGATTCAAGGATAATTTTGATATTTCAAAAATATATTTTTGACGTTTTTTTAGATTAAAAAAACTAGTTTTTAACGGCCAAACAAAAAATAAGGAAACAATAACAGGAGGGTTCTGACGAATATGTTGATCGCCCATATTATCATATGGTATTCTCTTTTAAAACGTTGGGGGAATCTGCATGGGATCGCAATAAAGTCCAACTGGTCACATCCTTGCACAAAATCACTTGAAATAATTAAATAAAAAATACTACAATTTTTGTCCTTAACGAAATATTCTGCAATATATATATATATATATATATATATATATAGGATTGATCTGGATTAGATAAATTTGATATTATAAAAATTATATCCAATTCATTTTTTTATAATATTTAATTTAGATATCATTATGTATTATTCATTTAATTTAATTTTATATATCGGAACAAAAATATCTACATTTATTATCATTGTTAGTTGTTCTGGTTTTAGAAATATTTAATTATCTTAAAAGTTTAAACATCATCTGAAATTTTAAATTTAAATTTTGAGCATTCCAAATTAAATTTGACCCAAAAAAATAAAATTAATACAATTATAACAACGTAAAGAAAACAATATTTAAGCATATATAAATAATGAGTTCTTTCTAAATGTAAAAAAAAATCATTTACAGTCTATTTTGTAATATTTTAAATAATTATCATATATATATATATATATATATATATATTCTTTTATTTTTATTCAGCAAGCAAAAACATGTGCGCTAAAGGACCATTATAACATCCCATACACGGCTGACGGTTGCAAAACAATCATATACAACTGAGTATGTGATATCATACAACTCGGAATTCACATGGTCCCATGTGATGTGATGGGTTATGTACATTGTTAATTTCCTTCTTAATTTATTATTAAATTTCCATGTTTATTACAATAACAAAGATTCATGCTCATGTCAGTAATATTATATGTGTTTGTTCATACATATATATATATATATATATATATACACACACACACTCTGATTTTCTATATAATATATATACATACATGGAGTGAATGATAGAGATAGTTTTCTTGGTAAGAAGACAAAGATAAGATCAAGAAAGCTGTGGGAAGACATGGCGAATTCAGGATTCTTTTGATTGGTTTTGATTTCGTGATTGCGATCATATATATATATATATATATATATATATATATGGATCGACCGATGATGAAAGCAGAAGGATGATGAATATATACAACTGATCTCTCTCTCTCTCTCTCTCTCATCATACATCTTGTAGAATCTTTATAATCAAGTTATTTACACTAATTATGTCTAAATTATACAACATCATACTACAAGGATATGGTTTGTTTAGGAAAAAAAAACATTTAGATTCGCATGTGCTAGTTCTGTAATAAGAGTGGACAGAGACGGCTATAAGTACATGCATGTGAAATTCAAGCTACATATATACGTACGTATATATATGTACATACGCGTATCTGAAGCTTTTATATATCTATATCTCTATATATATATATAGCGATATCGGTTTTGTTCAATAGATGATCTCGTTGATGCGGGTTTATTGTTTGTTTTCCACTGATTCCAGAATCTTTTTTGGCTGCTGAAAATTTCTGTAATCTGAATTTACAAAGAGACAGAGGTTTGAAAGGAGAGCTTTTGTCAACTTATGATCAGAAAAATATTGCAGTCTCTCCATTTAAAGCTTCATTGCTTTCCTTTAAAAAAAATATATCATGACATAATACACTTTATAATAAATAATAATAAAAACTTCTAACTGGAGTAAAAAAAATAAATGTGGCAATTGTATAGATTAATTTTATAATGAAATACTACCAGTACAAAAAAAATACTAACTAAAAAGAAGAGAACAAATTTTTTTTCTAATTATCATTCTCGTAGAGCCTAATACAATATCATTCTATAAATTCCAAAAATAATAGTAAAAATGGAAGCTCCTAACTGTAAATAAATTTATTACACGCATAAAAAATTAAATGAAAATAAATTGGTAAAATTGTTGGTCCCATCATTAAATGTCGCAAGCATCTATAGGGTACATGCCCTACGAGCCGTCCACCGAAATTTTGTTAGTATTATTAAAAATTAAAATAAATAAAAATCGTATCGCAAAAGATAAGTCGATCGAAAACTAACACATTAGCTAATGTTAATAAAAAAAATTACTAGCTAATTAAAACAAAAATTTGCCGATATTATTAAAAAGCAAAATTTTGGATATAGTGAAAAACATTATATTTGTTGATGTTCATTATATTAATAAAATACACAGAAAAGTATCTCCATTATAAATAGCAGTAAATTAATTATTTTTAAAGGGTAGATGTTAATTCTGTGGATTATACGGAAACAAAAAATACCAAAGAAAATGCATGTAGTAGTATATCAATGATTTAGATGGGAAGTTATAAAGCCGGCCCAACCAAAATAACGTAAGCAAGTTTGCTGAATATTTCATTCGATTTTCTTTTTTTTAAATGTATTCTTAAATATAAGAAAATATATCAAGAAAAGTGTCATTGGATGGATCAAAGATTTAAACTTTATCATTGGCGGAGATGGTTCACATATATATATATATATCCTCTCATATGTATTATATATATATATATATATATATATGTTGAGATCACATCAAACAAAAGGTACTAGTGAACTAGTAGTTGGCCAAGAAAGCGAGAGGGCATTATCATTACACGGTTTACATGTGATCTTTCCAAATCACAAATGGTAGGACATATATATATCATTAGTCGTTTACTCCGTAGAGGTTTTATAATTAATTACTTGATTTGATGTAAATTTAAGAAATCGAATTACTTGTTAAGGTTTGATTTTGGTTTATCTCCAAGAGGGAAGGGTCGCTTTCATCTTACGGGTGTGTATATATATATACACCATAGGAACATCACGAAACTAAAGATTTATACATTATACACACGTGTGTATACATATATATATATATATATATATATGGAGGGAAAAGCAAACATCGTGAATGAGCATCTTCCAAATTAAAAATAACAACTTGGTAAGCATAGGAGGAGGAGGAGAACAAAAGCGGAAGTGTTTTGTATGTGTAAAGTATATCGAAGGTGTGGGGGCATATCATGTAAATTTTGAAAGAGAAACAACAAAAGGGCGCAAGAGCAATAATTCCGCTCTAATGGGGTTCACAACCTTGTCATGTCGCTATTTGCATGCATGCATGCATGCATACATACATACATACATACATACATACATACATACATACATACATACATACATACATACATACATACACTCTTACATACATACATACATACATACATACATACATACACTCTAAATAAATATACAAACATGTAGGAGAACCTTCTCCATTGCTGCGATTCCTCAAACTTCAATTACATGGGACAGGAGTTGTTTCATAAAACAGCAAAGCAAGCACGAGTGAGAAGTGGAATCTTCTTATAAATAAAATAAAAAATAAAAATACTAAATCAAATAGAACCGATTTGATCTAAAAACTAAAAATTTAGTTTGTTTTTCAGTTAAAAAATCAGAATAGAACCCGATCGAACCTAATATAAAAATGAAAACATTAAATAATTTTTTTAATAAAATAAATATGTTTTTAATAAAACAAAACATAAATAAAAAGCACAATAAATATAAATAACTAAACCAAAAAATAATCCAATGGAATCATCTGAAAAATAATTTCCTGACACTTACTTTTAGGTTAAATAATTAAAAGTCATCATTGTGATCCCACTAATAAGATTATCTTAAATCTTTGATAAGTGGAAAACAGCCAATAATTATCCGAAATTACATAAATATAATTTGATCTATTAGCACATATATTATTTTTTGCGCACACTAATTACTTCTAAATCCACCGACCTATTTAAATGCGAGTTCGTATATATAACTATATATTATCAGATACATCATTACTTTCTGAAACAATTAATAGGTTGACCATATTGATAATCATTTATAAAGATCGCTGTACGGTTGAATTCGACCAAAATTTTTGGTTGTACGGTTTTAAAATATGTCAGAGTATTTAAGTTAAATTATTATTTTTTAAAATCGATAATGTCTTGTTAATAACCACTATGATAATGAACTACATATATGTAATGAGTATCATATAATAAGAAATCCAATTAAATCTCCATTTAAAAATTATCCCATTCAGTGAACAAAGTTAGAGGAAAGTAAGTAAATGAGTTATAATGGAACACGACATATTGTAATAAAGACAGCCCACTAAATGTCCAAAACACCTAAAGCTATAACATGACACCTAAATTACAATAATTATTGTATAAATAATTAAGAAGAAAAAAAAAAGAATTCGAGTATGCTGGATTAGGTGCCAACATTAAGACGTCTAATCACATAATTAAGGCGCTTAATACGAGGCTATCTTTTCCTCTCGATATCATTATCAAGGAAAAAAAGTCAAGATCAATAGTTGGAGCATTAATTCTTCTTTGCAGCAGCAACTTGATTTTCATATAATCAAAATGAGGGGTAATTATACGTATATTACTGAATAAATAAAATATATACAACGTCAATTTACTCTTTCTTTAACTATGTGTCTGCAAAATTATGTGTGGATCCACCTTCTTAGTTATGGGGTCACATGCCCCCATCATTTTTATAAAAAAAATGTTGATAATAAAATTTATATGACTTGCATAAATTCCAATAAAAATAATTGGAAACCTGTTAACCTTGATTTTTTTTTTTAATTTAAGAATTAATTTCTGAACAAAGCAAAGAGGAAACTGTTGCAGCGGAAGAAAGGAGGCATATAAGAACTTCAACAGAGACTAAACGAATCACACAGAGGATTAATTAGTGTATGTTAAAACAATATTGATTATTAATATTAAGATATGACATCTTTTACTATCCAGACTGTCCACGACCTCAACTATATATGTATATATTGAATATGTGGTCCATGATCTAAAATTAATGTTCAAAACAACAAACTTAATTATATACATACATATATATATATATATGTATGTATTTGTATATGCATATTCGACTCTAAATCATTGCTGTAACTTTGGATGGATGAAAGGGATATATCATACATAGATCATGTTACAATCTGCGTAACATTTCTTTCATCGTTAGATAATTTCACACCCACATGGAAACTGAAAAAAAAAAACATGAGTTAGTTATCTGAAAGACCAAACGTATTGAGAAGGCAACAAAAACATATAACATGCAGAGCAAACCCTTATATTACGACGGATTAAAAATCTATATTATATATATATATGAAGGATACATAATCTATGAATTAATTATAGCATTAAATCTCAATTAGAACTTAAAACCTTATATTATAACGGATTACATTATACATATATAGAGATGAAGGAATATTACCTCAATTATAGCATCGGAAAGTTAGTATGCATTAGGAAGTTTGATTCCATAGTAAAGATCCATTGATAGGAAGAATAGGTATCGAGAACAAGTGTTTATATATACACTAATGTTCATAAAAATGTCAATATATTCAATAATATGAAATTAAATTTATTAAATAAACTGTAATCTGAACAGATCTGAGTTTAGATTCACATCACATACAGGAGACAAGCAGAACCCATACCCTTAGATAAAGCTTCAAGGATTGATCGATCCGATCAATATCAACCCTAATTTCGTATAAATACATATACATAATCAAACCCAGACCATAAACCCTCCAACAACAAAAAAAGAGAGAGAATTTATTTAGGGTTTTCCAGTGTAGATCCACCAAAAACCATTCATCCACGTATGCGTTTTGCTTGGACCGAATCATTAGTGACAAAATTAAAATTTGAAAAACCCCATATGTTTTTGAAGAAAAACATCAGATCTATCCGTAAATGATTGAAATAGCAACAAAAATCATTAAACAAAATAAGAGAAAAGGCAGTACCATGAACCGATCGGTCGTATGAACACTGTATATATTTGGCCCTGCCTGTATTTTCCCACAGCTTTATTGAACCGCGAAATTCCGACAAAGATCGAAAACTTTTTTTTTTAAACATTCCCATGTATAAACGGAAAACGATCTGAATCAAGAGACCCAAATCGAAATGGGAACCGATCTGAGAATCGAATAAGCAGTTCAAGAAAGCTGTGGAAGAATACAGAGAGGGACATTGTCACTGTCGTCGATCGAAACCCTAGAGAGTAGAGACACATCCGGAAGGGAGAGGGGCAAAACTGTAATTTCAGTGGTTTATGGAGAGAGAGAGAGAGAGAGAGCGGGGGTTGTGTGTGTATGGGAATGTAGGTTTTGAGGGGAAGAAGATATTTATAAAGGAGAAGGGAAGGGTCTTTTTACCACCAATCCCGAGGAGAATATTGGGCTCTCAGATTACTACTCTTTCATTTTAATTTCCCTTTATTTATATATATATATATATATATATATATATATGGCATGTGCGTGGTAAACTTTAATTACCACCAATCCCGAGGAGAATATTGGGCTCTCAGATTACTACTCTTTCATTTTAATTTCCCTTTATTTATATATATATATATATATATATATATATATGGCATGTGCATGGTAAACTTTAATCGAGATCTGTATATGCTATATATGTGTATGTATGTACAGATTCGAACTACTGAAGTCTTTTGTCGATGGTCTGTCCTGTGGTTTTTTTTAGCATGAGAGTTTATTTTTTTTTACTATAAGAGATTATATTTGTTTTACATGAGAACTTGAAAAAATTCTAAAGTTTTGATTTTAGATTAATGAATCATCCCAATTTAATTACTAAAAATAAATATCGAGATACAATAGTGTTGTTTGATATTTATTAAAAAAAATTAATTTAACTGAAAATATCTCCACATATATATAAAATCTAATAAAATTAATTATCGTCAATGGAAATATCAACGATATATATCTTTTTGAGATAGTTTGAATTACTTTACACGCTTTAGTTTGGATTTCCCTTTTGTGTTTTTGCATATGTGATATATATTTTTTTTACATTTTTTTGAAACTATAATATCTTTCATGAAAATCTCAAAATTATGGATTTTTACGTGCTATCATAGAAAACAAAATTTTGAACCACTGAACAACATCTTATCAAATATAGAACATATCTATTTTAAAATCTATTTGTTGTACCTTGGATCATTAGAGATCTATTTTATTCATAATGTATATCATATAATAAAATGAATTTTAGATATTCGAAGGTAAAGATTCATAAGAATCATCATAAATTAAATCAGATAATAACTATTGACGTATATGTATGATACATATGTATAGAATATATGTAAATATTTAATCATTTTGCCATTAATATATGTTACTCATAGGCAATTAAACAATCAATATGCTCAGATTACAGAGAGACGTTCCAGATCTAGAATGTCAATTTAGAGGTGATACTTGCTTTTCTTCGTTTTTTTTCTTTTTGTAATTTCAAAGATCATATATATTCCACTACCATTAAAATCAGCCTTCCTTAATTAAATTTATTTATATAAATTTTAGAAAATTAATACTAATTCCGTCAGTTCATTTTCCATGAAACCGAACTAATACCTCTATTTTTTCGTGCTATTAATACCCCAACTGCTAATATTTTTCAATATCCATCAATATATATATATATACATATTATATATATATATATATATATAAATTAAAGCATTTATTTATGAAAGTTAACGTGCTCTTGTGCTACGCGAAGCATTTCATGCATCCCCACAAAACCAAAAAAGAAATTGACTTCTTTTGGTCCACGTTCCTTCAAACGAAACGACGCCGTTTCCTACAAATCCACGTTCCTTCAAACGACGCCGTTTTCCTACGAATCCACGTTCCTTCAAAAGACTAACAAATTTTGTCTCCTTGTTTTTAATAACCACACAAAAACCTAAAGCCATGAAAAAAGCATTTCTGATACAAAGACAAAACAAACTGTTTCAATTAACACAAATGTCAATACATACATATATATATATATATATTAATATATATATGTATATGAATAATTGTTGGGAAGGGAGGGAGATGGGCACATGGAGGCATGTGGGGAATGGGGCCAATGAAAGAGGGGAAAAGACTATTACAGCCCGTCTTTGCCGGGTCGGATGTCTCTCTCTCTCTTTTCTCCTTTTCACAATTTAAAAAATAAATAAATAGTTTTTTTGGATTTTGTTTGTTTATGATCGCAATGCTTCTCCTTTGTTTCTCTTATACAACTTCGATGTGTCAGACTTTGCCTCCCTTCTTTCTATTGCTCCTCACTTTGATTTTTGCAAAAGAGTAGTAACCCAATGCTACTCGCAAGATTTTGTTTTTGGGAAATGCAATTTATATATTTATTACATACTATAATAATAGATTAATAGTTTTTTAACATAAGAGATCAAAGTTCGGTCCATATTATTTTGATGTATCATCCCATCACCAAATTCTACCAATCTTGATTATACAAAAAATGGTTTAATACAGAAACATTTTGATGGACATATGAAAAAAAAAAGTGTTTTACCATTCGATCATATTCCAATTTCCAATCACCACTAACTCTGTCGCAAATACAACTAATTTGAAATTCGCATCATTAATATATTTTTATTTATTGAAAATTAAATCCGAATCAAACTAATTGGGTGGCAAAAAATAAATATCTGCCTATTCATTACAAGACCCAAAGTTGTAAACTGAATTAGGTGGGCATGGGCACACCCGTGATTTTGGATTTTCGGGGTCATGTTTCCACTAAAACGTTGCTTCAATCATTTCGATTTGATGTGATGATATTATACACTACGAAACAGACTTCAGTGTAATATGTGTGTGTGTATATATATGTGTGAAAGTTTAATTGTACGTATTTCTGTACTATATTGACCTCTTGCTGATTGGAGAAAAGATGACTCCATCATTTTTAATTATTATATGAGTTGGAAGACAGAAACATTTCGCTATTTGTTTGTTTTTATACGAAAAAGAAATAAGAAGAGACGAATATTCTTGTTAATTCTAAGGCCGGTTCAACCTATATAATCGATACTTTGATGTAGTTTGGCTTAAATATAATTTGAATTATAGAAATAATTAATGTTGTGTTCTTCGTTGGATTATAAATGCACAAAAACTTATACCATCAATTTTAAGTTTTTTGAATCTAGTAATTCGATCGTAAATCATGTTATCGTTTTTTTTATTAAGATTTTTTAATAATATATTTTATTTTAGATTATAAATGATTAATGCGAAAATATATATTTTGGATAGATTCGATTCAAATCAACGAACTATATTAATTTATTAAATTTAATATAATATTGTCTGTATGATTTCATATATACATTTATAGTGCCATATTTGTAATGTATTCATCTTATATATATATAAGAAAGATTATTCACAATTAAAAAGAGGAAAACACAATTCAAACTATATTTCCTTACAAACATAATATATGAAAAAATAATGGAAACAAACAGCTGGAGAATTGGAGAAGGTGAGCAAGTACAAGATCAAACCATAAACCGGGTTAAATTGAGACCGGTTAATACCGGTTAAGTAGGGGAGTGGTTAAGAGCGCACGTGTACAAGAAATAGGGACAAAGACATGGAAAAGGATGATGTATCTTTTGTCAGTATTTCACTGACACCTAACCAAACACACACACACGACCCGACCACCTTTTTCATTTCGATTTAACCCACAATTTTGTCTTCCCCTTCTCTCTCTCTCTCTCTCTCTCTCTCTCTCTCTCTCTCTCTCTCTCTCTTCTCTCTCGTTTTTTTTACCCTTAGGAAACCTTCCACCTTTCACCATTGTTAGACCAACACAATAACTAAAAGCAGACCATTCTAATTTCGGTTCCATTTTTAACTTTATTATTTTCAGATTCAAGTTTTTCGATTTCTATAAAAAAAAATATTATCCTTTGATCTTTTACATCTAAGCCTAATTCAAAGTTTTTAATTAAAAACATTTATCTCAAAAAGATTGTTTATTTATTTTTATATTTGATTAAAACTTGGTTTAAAAAATCATTTTTAATTGGATTCAATTCAATAATGGCTATATATTATTCGATTTGATTTAGTTTGATATTTGAATTCAAAAATATGTTTTTATATAAACCATCGATATTGTGATTTCTTTTTTGTTGAACTTATTCACAACAATTTTCAAGTCTTTTTCAAAGAGTTCACGGTGATTATATTTTTTTGATAGTTAATGGTTATATCATTTGGCTTTGGCCGATCACGAACAATCTTTTTATTGTACGGAATAAAGTAGATGGTTTAATTTTTCAGATTTTTTATTTATTTTCTCAATGTTATTTTTGGATATGGTAACGGATATATCTTTTTTATTTTCTATTATTGCATCCCGTTTTCACATAAAAGATAGATAAGTGGGTAACATCCATTATCGTATTTGAATGATGTTTTTACTGCACGCTATTGTGAAAATAAATAAAGAGAGATTGCCACATCGTGTAATTATATAACCATGATTATTCGCAACTCAAATTTAATGGGCCAAAAAGCCCATTATCTCAAAAAATTATATGGGCTAACAGGCCCGGTATTGTGCTCGCCTGCAGAGAGACCGTGAAATATTTTGAGGTTTTGTAGATTGAATAAAATAAAATTTATAGTTTCTTTTATTTTGAATTTTTGATTTTAGTTTTAATTTTTAGTTTTTAGTTTTTAGTTTTTGGAATTTAAATTTTATAAGTATGTAAATCTAAAAATTTATAGCTTTTGGTTTTTAGTTGATTTTTTTCCATAAAATAGATTTCCGTGTTTTTAGGAAAACCAATTTTAAAAAAACTTCAGCCTTGAATGGTGGGAGTTTTTAGAGTTTTTAGAATCCAAAAACAAAAAAAAATAACATTCAAGTTTTTACAAAATTATTTTTCCTAAAAACTTGGAAAGTCATTTTAGTGAAAAAATCAGTGAAAAACCAAAAGTTACTTTTTTTGAGTTTTCAAATATTATAAAATCCAAAAGCCAAAAACCAAAAACTAAAAACCAAAATCCAAAAACTAAAACCAAAAACTCAAAATAAAAGCCATCTCCATTCAAAGCCTTCATTGTCGGGTTTTTCAGTTTTTAAAATCCAAAAACTCCGAAAACTACTTTCCATTCAACACCTTAATAGAAGAAATTTATTTTTAATTTTTTTTCCAAATAATAGTAATATATTTTTTACACATATATATATATATATATATATATATATATATATATATTTGGTAAACATATATATAATTAATTTCTATCAAATTTTTTATGATTAATATTTTGGGAGTGAAATAGATTAACTGTCGAAATGGATATAAAGGAGGAGATGGAAAAAAAATTAATATAGAGGTAGATTTTTTTTTTATACATTGGGGAACCCCGTGACTACCTACCCTTATAAACGGAGACGAACTGGCCACCACCCGCGCCTAACAGTCTCCATGGACCTCAGTCCGCCGGACCTGGCCACCAGGCGCGCCTAACGCTCGGGCCGTAGTTGGGCTTAGGCGCCTGCGGGTCAAACCCCAAGCCCACGCGCACGAGCCTGCAATACACGCGTAGGAGGTAAATCACCCCGTTATAACAGGCTGGCAGGTGAGCAGGTCAGAGGAAGTGAGACGGCGAGGAATCGAACTCCCCATCTCATGGATACTCCCCATGCTCACTACCACCTGACCTGGGGGCGAACCACTAGAGGTAGATTTTGAAATCCCTTTCACTCCAAGTCGAAAAAATCTCGATCGTTTTCAATAGTTGAGGTACAATTAAAAGTATTAAAATACCTAGAGGACTAAATTGCAATAATAAATAGATAAAATAATGGCCATTATTTCTATAAAATTAGGGTTTTGTTTTTATTAAATAAGACTCACTGGTGTTTTCTGTTTCTCGTTTCCATTATCTTCCACTGCGGAGTAGCCGGCGACGCCTTCATCGGCGAAGAAGAGCCTCCGATTACTTCGTCTACAATTTCTTCCTCCTCTCTGCTCAAACAGATTATCTCCTGTCTCTTGCTTTGTCGGCCTTTTCTCCTGTTCGATTCGAGATCGATTTGGATCAATTTCTCGGTACGTCTCTCCGTGTTTACTCGCTAAAAGTGATTTTATGCCATGATCACGCTGTTTGGTGCGAGATTAAATGGTCGAACATATCAACGCACTGGCTACATCAAATTTTTTTTATACCATTGTATTTTGCCGGAAGATGCACGGAACGTGTTCGTGAAGATGCCTGAACGAGAGAACCGGCATAGACTTTCTTAGAGAAGCAAAAAAAAAAATCACTTTTGGGCTGATGGAAATTTCAGTATGGAATGGAGTTTGAACTGTGAACCAGAGGTTTTAATGTTTAAAGTTTACTCTTGGATTTTTTTTTACATATTTCTTAAGCTCATCGGTATTTTGAACAGGAATGAATCTATCCCCGTTCAAGAGAGATATCGATGAGCTCATACACGAGTTTGTGGAGGTCCTTCATGCTTCTCTCCTCTGCGTTTGTTAATTTCAAAATCCATCTTATATTTTTGCTTTCCATGTGGCTAATATTTTCCGTCGGTTGTGGTGTTAATTTTCAGGGTAATTTGAGTACGTTTGATGATATGAAGAGGGTGTGGCTTTCTCGAAAGTTTTCTTACATTTATGAAGCCAGTCCTCGAACCAACTTAGCCTTTTTCATGCAGTCTCTATATGCCTTTGCCATTGGTATGTCTAGCAGTTGCCATTGCTGAATGTGAGCACCTCCCATAACTTAATTTTCTTGTAGTTGTAAATGAAACGTAGAATATCGTATGAAACTTCGCCTTTTCTGCTCTGGCAACTCTTGTGGAAGAGAAATAGAAGTTCTACATTCAGGAAGATATACGGAAGTCAATTGGTTTACCGGCCCTCTCTTTGTCACGTTTTGATGTTTTGGTGCATAATTTGACATGAAATTCTGTATTCTCTCTCAGTGCACCTTAAAAATTCTGAAAGTAGGTCTCGTATTATATCCTTAGAACGTGCACATGTTCCCATGTTTATTTGCCTTTCTTTTGTTTTGGCTTCATTAACTTACAAGCATAGTACCGTGCTTTGTTTATCATTTGGAAACACTGATCAAACTTAAGCAAAGGGACGTAGCTGCTTCCATTAGCCTTGAGAGTAGTTTTAATCATGCTAAACTGACCAGCCTACATTATCTTTTCAGGTCATATAGTTAGTACCGATTCTTTGTCACGAAGACTTGGAGGGCTATATTGTCTATATTGTCTCCATGAGATCCAACCTTTCAAACTTAAGTTCAGAATCTATATCTCACTTCGTAAGTGTTTATAGCTTATATATATCTCTTCGTTTTAGTGAGCTTTATGTGAGCTATGAAAGACTGACCCATTGTTCTATCATTCTTATCATTTTCGTTTCTTCTAGGTCGAAGGATTAGAAATCTGAAAGCTGTCGTGATTGTTTAGTTGGATTGAATTTCTGTCCCTCGAATTAGGACATGAATTGTTGTTAGCTGGTGTTGACAGTGAACCAGAATGAGCGTCTTGGTTAGGTTCCAGGGGTCAAATTAATACCAAAGACAAATAGGGGTTTTCAGTATTAAGCACAGGCATAGTATTAGAAGAATCTCGTTAAAAGGTGCCCTTGAAACCAGCAAAGAAAGAGGATAATAGTTTAAAAGATGGAAAACATAAGGGCTGTTGTTGGTGCTTGGAATTTTTAAAGTATTATTGTCTCTTAGAAACTTGGAGGTCCCATCCTTTTGGTTATACCGAACTTGCGAAAATTTTATCTTACAGAAGAGCTTGGGAAGCTCAGAGATCTTTTAAAAGAGGCTAAGGAAATGGGTGTGGAGGTAGCTGCTGTCGTGGCTAAACAAATGTTTGAGAGAAACATGTTTATTTTTGGATCTGTGGATTTGAAGGAAGCATCAGCAGCCGAGAAAATTAATGAAACAACAGAGCTACAGAACCGCTTTATGCGAGTTGCTTATGAGAAGTATGTTCTTATACTTGTATTATTTATGACATCGATATTTGTAGGAATTACAAAGCGTGGTTCCAAAATTATTCTAGTAACATGATGTTACCTTTGAAATTCAGGATATTTGCCAACTCCCCGATCGAGAAATTTCTTCACCTGGACATGGTATGAAACACTCTACTCCTTTCAGAATTGATTGACATGCCCCAAGAGTCGCAATGCATGTAAATTTTGTTTAGAAAATCATGTACGGGATACCCGATGATCGAACATCGTGTTAGACGATGGGCAAAAAGCATGATATTTTCGGAGATTCCCTGCTCGTATTTGTGTTTATTCCCCCTTTAACATAAAAACACGGTGCAATCAGGGTAAGGAGGTTGATCTGGATGCCATAAGCAAGATGTCCAAGGAATACGCAGAGACCAAGAAGCATGCTATCGAAGGTACACTCTACTTTCTATTAAACAAATTCAATCAAAATCCATAGATAACTTAGGTGTGAAATTTTGATTTCTGAAGGGTAAATGCACGCAGCCAGCCACTAACATATGCATATATATATATATATATATTATTGTGCGTACATGTGTATGTATATGTCTGGTTATGAACCGTCTTTGTTCATGGGTCTCTTGAAGTGGCAAGCAAAGTAGGGGAGGTGGAGGGGATAAAGCACATATCGGAA